AGAACGGCACTGCCCCTGATGAGCTCCTTGTCTGGCTGACAGGGATAGACATCGTTGAAATTGTTTTCTACAGCTGCGTTGTCTGCATTGGGCTGCCCATCAACTGCCTCGCTGCGTACAGACTGTACCACCTAGTCAAGGCCAGTAATGTCCTCCCCATCTACGTCATCAACCTCCTCATCTCTGACATGCTGCAGCTTGCAATGCTACCTCTCATACTGCTGTCCTTTTACACAGATCTGCTGGATACAGTTTATTATCTAATACATCACTGGATCTCAATCAACATATTCTCTATGTGTGTCAGCATTAGTTTCTTTGTCTGCATCTCCCTGGAGAGATACCTGGCCATCGTCCATCCCCTGTGGCACCAGACCCAGCGCAGCCCCAGGTTAGCCATCAAGGTGTCTGTGGGAGTCTGGCTATTTGCTGGAATGTGTTTCACAGTTGAAAATCTCCTCGCAACGCAATATGTTCTCTTTATTTTTGTGCTTTTTGTGTTGTTTTTCCTAGTCCCACTGATCCTCCTTGTTTTCTTCTATGTCCAAACCAAAGCCGCCATCACCTCCTCCATTGGAGCTCCGGATGTGAAGAAGAAAAGGGCCCTGCGTGTGCTGTCCGCTGTTCTCGTCCTCTTCATCTTCATCTACGGGCCTTTCTTCACTGTAATAGTTGTCCGTGCTGTCCTGGATTCAATGAGGATATTTGTTAGTATGGGATTAATAGCTCTGGCAATAGTGTCTGATGTGATCAGCAGCCTGAACATTTTAGTGAATCCCATCCTGTACGTCCTCCTCAGGAATGATGTCAGAGAGACGCTGGACACTACTCCCTTCTGGCGCATGTTGATGTGGTCAGTGTGTTGGTGCTGTGGAGACAGAGTTGATCACAGGATCACAGAGATTTCCCAGGCAGAGCCTGTTACCAATTCCACAGTCCAGACCATGCAGGAGAGTCTGGTTTAGGGCAGCAGTAAAGGGTAAGATATCTTTCCCCAATCCTGCTCTTGCAAGCCAAGTATGTTTACAAGCTCTCAGTCCATCTTAGGTCTAAATGACTTCGATCAGCCCATTGTTTATCTGGACCAGTTTAACATCAATATTCAGCTCTGGTGTAAATAGGTCTAGAACATCTGCAGTCAATTCAGCAACCAGAGCTGGGAATTGACGTTAAACTGGTCCAGGTAAACAAAGAATGGGCTGATTGAAGGCA